AGTAGGTACGACTACTACCACTAGCAGTCTTAGCATTGGCATATTACGTCAAGCAGCAGTATCCTATTCCTCGTAGCCCAAAATAAGCACAATCATGTCAACTATTGATACAGTTATTGGAATACATTAATGTAACAAAATATCCACTGACTTTTAGTAAATGTGATTACTAGAAGTAGCACTCTTGGCAGTGGCATATTACCTCTAGCGGCAGTATCCTAGTCAAAACTAGTAAAATGCGACACAGCTTTCGGTGAAGAGGTGAGAGAGCATCTGTTATCCGACTACTTCTACTGCACTTGCTTTACAATACATTATTATAATACTATCAGGATGCATGATTACTAGTATTAGCAGTCTGAACACTGGCATATATTTTCACGCAGCAGTATCCTAGTCCTCGTAGCCCAAAAAAGCAAATTCTGACACAGCAGCTGATTGTTATAGGTGAGAGCGCGAAAATCAAGGCAATCCATGATGATGTGCTCCGGACCTCAAACATGCATTTACTAGAAATAGCATAAATCCAGACTCACTTTCCCAGTTGCGATACAAAGGACATGAGTATTGACAGTCATACATGCCTAACAGTCATGAAAGCTCGCCGGGTTCTCACAAATTGGCCGGGATGGATTTTAGGACGCTCGTAAGCTCATATTCTCATCTGTTATGCTTGTTGCAACAAAAAATTAATAAATATGATGCATGTCAGCTATGGATATACGACTCAGGGGCACCCACTCCTATGTGAGATCAAGGGAACACGGTCCCAGACCTGACTCCAGTCAGTGTAATTTCTGACCAAATATTGGCAGCACTACTATCACTCGGATACACCGCTAGAAGCAGCAGTATAAGCAGTAGTTTCAGCAATAGAAATACGAAACTCAGGCGCCTCGAATATTTCTGGGCACCTACTATGGCTGAGCGAGGGTAGATAGTGATATATAGTACCGGCACAAAAGGTTACTGTAGCACCATGTGACATGGCAGAAGCTGCAATACTAATTTAACAACGTCTAACTAACAATAAGATGACAGCCTGACGGATAGATTTGAGAGGGCGGAAACAAAGGAGAGTCCTGATGTGCTAGTATCGCCACTATCCTTAATGCTACCAGCATCACGAATATTGCCCTATCCTTGTGCCCTACTATAC